TATGAGCGTTCCATGATGTCTCCAATGGCTGAGCGCTCTATGATGTCAGCTTATGAACGCTCTATGATGTCAGCTTATGAGCGTTCCATGATGTCCCCAATGGCTGATCGATCTATGATGTCTATGGGTGCCGACCGGTCTATGATGTCATCATACTCTGCTGCTGATCGTTCAATGATGTCATCGTACTCTGCAGCTGACCGGTCTATGATGTCATCTTACACTGCTGATCGTTCAATGATGTCTATGGCAGCTGATTCTTACACTGATTCTTACACTGATACATATACAGAGGCATATATGGTGCCACCTTTGCCTCCTGAAGAGCCCCCAACAATGCCACCATTGCCGCCTGAGGAACCACCAATGACTCCACCATTGCCTCCAGAAGAGCCACCAGAGGGTCCAGCATTAACCATGGAGCAGTCGGCATTGACAGCTGAAAATACTTGGCCTGCAGAAATGCCAGCATTACCTCCAGAAGAGAGTGTATCACAGCCTGAGCCTCCTGTGAGTCAAAGTGAGATTTCAGAGCCTTTAGCAGTGCCTACTAATTATTCAGTGTCAGAATCAGAGTCTTCAGTGTTAGTGTCAGAGGCTGTTGTGACTATCACAGAACCACCTCAAGAGCCAGAGTCTTCAGTTATATCAACACCTGTTGAGTCTGCTGTAGTAGCAGAATATGAAATTGTTCCAGAGAGACCAGTGACTTGTATTGTATCTGAAACACCCATATCACCTGAACCAGCTGTGTTAACATCAGAGCCTCCTGTTATGACAGAGACAATAGAAACGTTGGATTCCACGCAATTTGAAGGACATGTTTCCTCAGAGACATCTATGTCCCTGATAGACCCAACTGTAACTTTTCCAGAGCCAGCAGAGAACATTCAGGAGCTTCCAGCCATGGCAGTTCCAGAGCCTCCTGCAGTGGCTATCCCAGAGTCTCCTGCTGTGGGTGTCCCAGAGTCTCCTGCCATGGCTGTTCCAGAGTCGCCTGCTGTGGCTGACCCAGAGTCACCTGCTCTAGCTATCCCAGAGTTACCTGCCATGGTTGTCCCAGAATTGCCTGCCATGCCAAAGCCAGAACCACCAGCTGTGGCTGTCTTTGAGCTTCCGAGTGTGGCTGAGCCAGAGCATGTTACTGTTCCAGTGTCAGCTGTTTCTGCTCTGGATCCTGCTGTGTCTGTCTTAGAACCAGCAGTATCAGTCCTTCAACCTACGGTGATTGTTTCAGAACCATGTATTTCTGTCCAGCAGTATTCTGTGACAGTTTTAGAACCTGCTGTCACTGTCTCAGAGCAGACTCAAATAATATCAACTGAGATGGTTTTAGAGTCTATACCAGTGATAGCAGAATCTAGTGTTTCATCATCACATGTTATGAAAGGGATGAATTTGCTATCTGGTGATCAAAATCTTGCTCCAGAGATTGGCACGCAGGAGACTCTGTTGTATTCAGGTGAAGAGACACATGCTGAAGGACACCTGAAAAGTGACTCTTATGAAAGTGAACATGGTCTAAATGTGGACTTTAATATAAATAATCATTTAATTGCTAAAGCTATGGAAAGTAATATGTCTACTGCTAGCACTGATTCTGTTAGTGGGATTGGTGAAGAGAAAATTTTGCCCATCAATGAAACTAATAAGTGCACAGTATTAGATACCTGCCTTGGTGTTAGTCAAGCTGATGGAGGAGGATCTCTGTCTTCTGCCAGTCCTCTTGCTCTAGAACCTGATACACCAGGAACTAATAAGGGTGTTGAGTTTGTCATGGCAACTGCTATCACTACAATTAATAAATATGATGATGTTTCTTTAACTACCCAAGATACTGAACATGACATGGTAATTTCCACCAGCCCCGGTGGTGTTGGTGAGGCAGACATAGAGGGACCTTTGCCTGCTAAAGACATTCATTTTGATTTACCATCTAATAATCTTGTTAGTAAGGATATAGAAGAACCGTTATTTGTAAAGGAGAGTGACCAGGTATTACCAATTGCTCTCAGCCCTAAAGAAAGTGGAGAAGATGAAGTACCTCTCCCTTCTAAAGAGATAGTGTCTGATTCAGGATTTTGTGCTAACATTGATGAAATTAATGAAGCAGATTTAGTGAGACCGTTACTTCCTAAGGACATGGAACGTCTTGCAAGCCTTAGGGCTGGTATTGAAGGACCTTTACTCCCAAGTGAAGCTGAACGTGACAAATCAGCTGCCAGTCCAGTTGTAATTAGTATACCAGAAAGAGCTTCAGAATCGTCTTCAGAGGAAAAAGATGATTATGAAATTTTTGTTAAAGTTAAAGATACACATGAAAAAAGTAAGAAAAATAAAAACCGTGACAAAGGCGAGAAAGAGAAGAAAAGAGACTCTTCTTTAAGATCTCGGAGTAAGCGTTCCAAGTCTTCTGAACACAAGTCCCGTAAACGAACCAGTGAGTCTCGTTCTAGGGCAAGGAAGAGATCATCTAAGTCCAAGTCTCATCGATCTCAAACACGTTCACGGTCACGTTCAAGACGAAGGAGGAGGAGCAGCAGGTCAAGATCAAAGTCTAGAGGAAGGCGATCTGTATCAAAAGAGAAGCGCAAAAGATCTCCAAAGCACAGATCCAAGTCCCGGGAAAGAAAAAGGAAAAGATCAAGCTCCAGGGATAACCGAAAGACAGGAAGAGCCCGAAGTCGAACCCCAAGTCGTCGAAGTAGGAGTCACACTCCTAGTCGACGAAGAAGATCTAGATCTGTGGGTAGGAGGAGGAGTTTTAGCATTTCCCCCAGCCGCCGGAGCCGCACCCCCAGCCGACGTAGCCGCACCCCCAGCCGAAGGAGCCGTACCCCCAGCCGAAGGAGCCGCACCCCCAGCCGTCGGAG